TGCATTTGCGAGTATATGAAAGCAGCAACGTAACTTGCATTTTGATGTTTAACTTTGGATGTATATTTTTAGGGTTAATACCTTAGTTTGCCCCGAACTATAGACAAACTTTTTACTTTGACCCATGGTATCGGAAATTGCTACCCTGGCCTAAACTATGTAGCATACTGGGGTATGATACTATGCCTACCCTTAAATAGGTTGGTTTTTTGACACCCCCTTTTCAATTGGTCAATTTTTTCATTAATTACTGACAAGTATTAATGAAGGTAAACATAATAAATGTTCTGTTATTAAATACAAAGTAAGCATTAAATACACCACATTAATTACTTGTTTAAAAAAAAAATCTAAACATATACAAAATACATTTCTCTCTCTCATCTTTGATCTTTCTCACACCTATCTCTGATTCTTCCTGTAACGACCCGATCATTTTAGAAAACCAAACCATAACTTAAACCAAAAACCGGTTACCCCGAAGCAACACAAACGACTTTTTTTAAAATAAATAAACCGACAATGTTTAAGAATTTCAAACAAAAAGCCTGCACACTTGGGCAAATGACAATCCCAATACTTAAAATGAATGAACTCAGAATCTCCAATTTACACTCCTAACTATGTAACAAAGAAATTAAACTATTCTACCTCTGACTCTTCACGAGTTCCTTTCATTTTCTTCTTCTTCTGGTGCAGCTACTCGTCTCGCCTTGCCTCTTCTCAAAATCCGCGTCTACTAACCCTTCCTCGACCTGGTGAGTGAGAAGGGGTCAGTCTCGTCGTTACTTCCTAAGGTCTTTGCCCTAAGAAACGCCTTACTAGACACGTTATTAGGGTTCTTGACTTAGACAAAAGTTGTTCTCGCTTTCATCCTTTATACTTTGTTATCAAACAGTCTATAAGAGATCTCTACTCCTATCTTATCTTTAGAATTTCCTTACTTATATTCTGAATCCATAGACACCAACACTAGGGACCACCACATTACATCTCGCCGTCCGGTGTCCTACCCTAGTATGCCAATCGCGTTACGTCTCGCCGTCCGGTTGCATACTTAAACTCGGCAATGACACTACATTACGTCTCGTCATCCAGTCCATGCCCTGTCAACTACTGCGTTACGTCTCGCCGTCCAGTAGTGACCCCAACATACTCGATCAACTGCTGCATTACATCTCGCCGTCCAGCAGTGATCCGACCATCTACCGCGTCCAGTAGTGGCCCAACCGCCCGGGGGTTCCTCATACCATCAATCCATACAACATCACATACATTCATACAAATACAAGCACAACTTGTGCCTCCACCTTCAGAAGGCGGTGGGATGCCTCAAACACATAAAGCGCATAACTCACAAATTAACTAAATAATAACTTAGCTTGAAACAAAAAACATAAATTAAAAAGACCTCGACGAAGATTTTACCCCTTTACACTCACCTCTTAAATTAAGTCGACGTGATTTGAATCGTCTATGAAGCGGGTAGATAATAATCCTCAACTTGCTACTTCCCTCACTCTGTCCAGTAATGCATTACTTTAATCATCACACCCCAGTCGAAGGCTTGAAGCTTTGCAACCTCAGTCAATCATCGTCCCGACTTCATTACATAGCAGTCCATGCTACCATCTAATAACCATTTCTTTTAGTTCATTGTAACAACCATATATATAACCAAGCAGCCTCCGACCACCAAGTTTCCTCTGACCACCACACTTCGCTGGTAAAATCCCACCGACAAACTCTCTCCGGTCACCTGCGAAAATATACCACTGCACTGATATGTTGTACCACTGTACTGGTATTTGTACCACTGCACTGATACTCAAATATGACATGGTACTAGTGCACTGATATCGCTACCAGTGCAGTGGTACAACGTATCAGTGTAGTGGTATATTTTTTGTAGATGGTCGGAGGGAGTCTGCCGATGGCATTTTCACCGGAGAAGTGTGGCAGTCGGAGGAAGCCTAGTGGTCGGAGGCTGCTGAAAAAGGAAAAATCAGATATAGGGAGAGAGAATGTATTTAGTGTAGGTTTTAATTTGAAAATAAATAAATAATTAATATGGTGCATTTAATTCTTAATGTATATTTAATGTGTGTATTAAATTCTATAATTGTATTTAATACCCCATGGGGTGTCATTTTTCCAACCCCTCAAGGGGGTTAGCATGCTAACTGACCCCCCTCATTTGTCACGTCAACTATCAGGGAATAAAAAATTATTTTTTTTATTTTGTTTACTTTCTAATAATAAAAATAATATCCCAACCCTTCTTTTAGTTAATCTATTTTGGGTTTTTTTAATTAATTTTTTTGGTTTATTATTTTTATTATTAGAAAGTAAACAAAATTCAAAAATTCAAAAAAAATAAATTTTTTATTTCCTCATAGTTGACGTGGTAAGTGAGGTGGACCTTGACTAACAGTCAAATCGGTTGACCGTCTAATTTGATGGTCAAACCAGCCTCTGGGCCAAATAAGGAAATATGCTACATAGTTTAGGCCAGAATAGCAATTTCATATGCCACGGGTCAAAGTAGAAAGTTTGTCTATAGTTCGGACCAAACTAAAGTATTAACCCATATTTTTACGAAAACATAGAAAAAGGTTGCGAAGCATTTAGTTTATAAACTTGAATAACAACAATAGCTATAGGTGTCAAAACACAACCCGACCCGAGTAACCCGCTTGATCAACACGACCCGTTACCCGACCGCAACCCGAATTGACTAAAAGTCAATGACCCGCAAACCGTCCGACCTGCAACCCGATTGACCGCAACCCGACTGACCCGCAAACCGATCAACTCGAACCCAATTGACCCGCAACCCGATAAAACCCGTAACCCGATTAACCTGCAACCCAATTGACCCGACCCCGATTAACCCGCAACCCGCCCGGTTGAAATGAATAATTACTATATTTCAAAATAAAGTTTATGCTCTATACCAAAGTGAAGCCATTTTTCATTTCCCAAAGGGAAATTCAAAATCTGAAACCCAATTACATAAATTAAAACATGAAGTTCACTTTGAAAATTTATTTCTTTAACAAACTTAAATAAGATTCATAAAATCAGCACAATGCTAATTTTTATAATGAATAATTTGCAATTAAGACAAGTTTGTACAAAATAAAAATTAAATAATATTATCAATAATTCATCTTTTAGAGGTATATAATTGGGTAACGTTTGGTGTTTCTATAAATACATAATTTGAAAAGCTTTGAATACGATAGAAATACATATGTACTTATAAATAACATTATTTTCATTTTCAACAAGTTTGCACAAAATAAAAACAATGAACATGATCATGGAAATAAAAAAGAAATGACAAAGAAAAACTGCTCTTATACAATATGTGCTTCTAAGTTACAATTAGGCACATCCCTACTCAATGTCATAATCATCAAAGGTGCATCCATCCATCCATGTTCCTTGCAGTCAGTGAAGCATATTACGACTAGCGGCAAAGCATATTACGACGAGTTGCTTTGCCGTTGGGGAGCTGATGTGACTGGATTAACGAAGAGCTGTTGTGAAAGGCTTCTTCGTGCTTGAGTTACATTTTAGTTTCGAAATAACCCCTTTTTGTTTAAGGTATAGAGTATATGATTAGAGTATAGTGTATAAGGTACAGATGGCTTGGGGTCATGGTTTAGAGTTAAGATGATTAGGACATATATTCTTCCCAATAACTGAATATAAAATTGACTTAACTTACATTCTTAACATAACATACATTATAGTTTATACCAACAATTTCATAACATATAACTATAGTTATGGTTTAAGGTTAGTGAATCGGGTATAGGGTCATGGTTTAGAATTAGGATGATTAGGACGTATGTTCTTCTCAATAACCAAATATAAAATTGACTTAACTTACATTCTTCACATAACATACATTATAGTTTATACCAACAATTTCATAACATAAAACTATAGTTCATGGTTTAAAGTTAGTGAATAGAGTATAGGGTCATGGTTTAGAGTCAGTGTTTGGATTATGGTTAAGGGTTGAGGTTAGTTTTAGGGTTAATGACATAATGTTGTCTTTTAGGGTAATGTATGGTTAATGGTTAAGGTTAGTTTTAGATTATAGGGTTAAGAAGTAAGATGGTGTTATAGGGTTAGGGTTTAGAGTTTCTTCATGGTTATGCTTTACGATAGATATTTTGGTTTTTATATTTTATTATTTTATTTGATTTTAACTATTAATTTAACTATTACGCATTTAAAATATTTTGAAAACTTGCGAATGTACATCGTAGATATATCATATTCAAATGACATTCCGACCAACGGATCGAACAACAAACTAGTTAATCAGTAAATTTTTTATCAACTATAATAATAAATATCAAAGAAGGGAAGAACAAAATGTTGACAAAAAATTGAAGGAAATCTTTTGAATGCAAAATTCAACAATTACTTTTTAACTCCAAATATTTGGTCCAAAATTCCCTCCCCAATAAGAAAATCCCTGCTCAATATTTGAAAACCCCATCCAATGTCCAAAATTCCCCCACCCAATATTTGAAAACCTTCCCGCCCAAAATCCCCCGCCCAATATTTGGGTCCAAATTCCCTCCCACCCTCCTTTTCTATAACTAAAAATATATATTATATTAACAATAATTTTTTTAATTCTTTAATCAAATTATGTTAGTTAAGGAAGGAAAAATATTGTGCATTTTCTCTCTTAATCCCTATCCTTTTTTTGGACCGAACAATAAGCAACCCGACCCGTATGCAACCCTCAATCCTATCAACCCAAATCCGATTGATCCGCAACCAAATCAACTCGTAACCTGATTGAATCGCAACCCGACCAACCCGATTTGCCTGCTGCTCTATTGACCAACAACCCAATCAATCCGGACCCAATTAACTCGCAACCCGATTTAACCGCGACCCGATTGAACCCGCCCAATTGACACCTATAAAAACAGCTAACTCCCCCGGCCGGGCCCAGTTGCTACGGACGGGTGTTAAGTCTTTTTTTTTTTTTCCTTCTTAGGCACTGTTTCACTCCCCATCCGTCGACTCCTTGATCAACTGAAAGAGGAGAGAAATGAGTTTAGATTCCGCTCGTTCGGGCGGCGATTCATCAAAGAGAAGCCTCGCCGATTCACCCGCTTCCAAAAGTTCTAGCAGCAGCAATTCTAAGAGGAGCAAAACCAATAGCAAGGAGAAAGCCCTAGGAATGGCTTGGGGCGCCAATTCTGTCTCCTCCTCTCGCTCCTCTTCCCGCAGTTCCCCGTTCTCCGACTTTGGGAGGTTGGTCGTCTGTTTGATCGTAACTCTGGAAATTTAGCTGTTCTTTTTTCCGACGGAGTGTTGATTACTGTATTCATCGGGAATTTAATGGTACTCTTTGTTAGGTGCTGCTTGTGTCTTTCAGAATAAGCTGCAAATTCTTGCAATTTGGATTTTAGAAATTCTAATTGGTCAGAGTTCCTCTTTGGGACTTCTTATATTGTCAAGTGGCCAATTATATGTGAATTACGTGGCTCTTGTTATGGTGGTTGTGAGGTGACTTTGTGCTGAGAGTTGTATTGATGACGTATTTGGAATTTTGATGAAGTTATATGTTGGAGAAGACGCGGAAACTTCGCCAACAATTCGATGCTGAAGCTTCTAATTCTTCAGATTCGAGTTCCAAAAACCCCCTTTTTCATGGGGTTTCTATATTCATTGATGGATTCACCATTCCGTCAAATCAGGTGATTTTTTGGGCGTCTGTAATCTATTGTTACTTCTCTATTTGGATGCTGGGAGAATCTAGCTTCTCTGATAACTGAAACAGAAAACTTATCTTACTTTCAAATAATGACAATCTTCTCAGTATAGGATGAGATAAACAACTGTCTTCTTCAGGAACTGCGGAGCTACATGTTGATGTATGGAGGAAGATTTGAGAATTACTTTTCCAGGAGTCGAGTTACCCATATCATCTGCAGCAATCTGCCCGACTCTAAAAGGAAGAATATGAGGTTTACATTGTTGATTAAATTTTATTCTCTGGAGTTGCTCTTAGTCTGTACTGGAAGATTGTTTCATTTGTATTGTTGGTTAATGAAATTCAGGTCCTTCAGTGCGGGATTGCCAGTGGTCAAACCTGCATGGATTTTGGATTCCGTGTTTGCCAATCGGCTCTTGGATTGTAAGTTAATGCCACTTTGGGTTGAAAGTGATAGGCTTGGGGATTTTTATTTTGCGATACCAAATTGTAGATGGATCAGTTATCCGACATAAATCATGCTTCAAGTTTAGATCCAAATATTATAATCTGAATTCTATGTAATTGACCAGAGCCTGATCATATGAATTTGTCTGACGTAATAACTTTACACCTACATGCAACTCTCTGTAGGAGCGGAATCGAGTTGATTCCTTGGGGGGCTGGTGTTCAGTGAGGAATCGTGTTTGCTCATCCTTTATGTGTAACTTTTTTAATGTCAGTCTTAATTGTGTTATTTGTTTTGCTACAGGGGTTCCTTATCAACTTGATCAGCTTTGCGGCAACCAACCTCCGGTTTCAGCTTTCTTTTCCTCTAAACGCAGCTCAATGGTTCAAGATACTTTGGAAGTTGCTGGTCGTCAGTTGAACATGGATAGATCTTTCAAAGGAGGTGCATCAAATTATGTAGATCTTCCTGAATTACATGAATCACTGGTTGTTACTGAGCAAGATGCTTTGATAGTTAGAGATCGTCATGTGAATGCGGACTCATCTAGGCAAGTTGGTACAGGAATGAATGACGAATTTTCTGATATGCTTGACTGCATAAGTGTTACCAGCAATGGGAATCCACAAAATGGTAGCCAGAATTGTGATATTGAGGAACCAACTGGTAGCAAATCCTCGGATGTAAGGATGGAAGTACCTGGTAATTCTGACACAGAATGTGAAACAACTCTAGCCAGCAGATTGCAGCTTACCCCTGAAAAACTCCATGGCTCAGTTGGCACGCATGGTGCAGATAATAAAAATCCAACTGCATCAAGTTCAGGTGTTATTGGACTCTTTAATCAACGCCACTCAACCCTTGGGGATCCCAATTTTGTGGAGAATTATTTCAAGGTAATCAATAAACACGAGGAGAACCAGCTGACATTGTAAATAATGTTTGCATCTCCTCTCGTTGTATGCTCTTCCATTGAGTTTTTAGACACGAGTTAGGATATTTGACATATGGAGCTTGTTTCGATGTATCTGGACTTGTGCACGTGCAGAGTTCAAGGCTGCACTTCATTGGAACATGGAGAAGTCGATATTGGAAGCGTTATGGTAGCAGATCCAATGATTTGAAAACTCAAAATGCAAACTGTTGTGTCCTAGATGCTTCTTACAAGACTGCTGTTATCCATATTGATATGGTATGTTTTGCTTTGGTTTAGTTATGTTTGATCTTTTAGCCGTAAGGTAATCTTGCCAGATGTTCAATCCAGTCTTCATGTCTTTTTTCTTTCAATGGTAGATAAAATAACCAGAGGCTAGCACTTGTCCAAATGGGAGAAAAGAAAGAAGTGATTTGTTTCCTTTCTGTATCTGGATAATTAAGCCAATAGCAGTATGTCATAGGTGTGATATAAACAGATGGAAGCCTTAAGGTGAGGAGTGCTATGAAAGAGATGGGATTGGGGAAGGAGGGGGGAACGCACACCTGTGATTAAAACTTATTTGCAGATGTCTGTGTTCTTAGTTCAGATGAGGTAGGAATTGGGACATTGTGGTTTCAAATTTATGCCGAACTTATACTATTGCTATAATGTAGTAGCTGTCTATTATGTGCTCCGATGCCAGCTGTTCTTCTTGGTGTCATCAAATGAACCTGCCCCCTCATATTGAGTTCTTTATTCTTGATTTTGTGTATATAGTTACATATTGAAGTCTTTTGCCTACCATGGCTAGAAATACTTCCAACTTTTCACATGAGCATAATCTCACTTCTTTGTCTTGCAATCCCAGATTTGTTTTTCCTTCTGATTTTCTTATGGGATACCAGTAAATAAGATTTATATGCTGTACAGGACTGCTTCTTTGTCTCTGTTGTCATCAGAAATCACGCTGAGCTACAAGATAAACCTGTAGCAATATGCCACTCCGACAATCCAAAAGGAACTGCTGAAGTATCCTCGGCAAACTATCCTGCCCGGAGCTTTGGTTTGTCGTTTACTAACTTCTCTCCATGTTTAGCTCCTGTATCATTCTTCGTCTAGGACTTTCGCTTTATATATGCAATGCACATTTCATTTGTTAGGTGTGAAAGCTGGAATGTTTGTTAGAGCAGCAAAAGCTCGTTGTCCGCACCTTATCATTTTCCCGTACAACTTCCAAGCTTATGAAGAGGTAATTAATTATTTATGTAGCGAAAAAGGGAATTTACCTGTAGGTTGCTTAATCAAAGTCAGATTATTAAGTTGGCTGAACTTGCAGGTAGCTGATCAGTTCTACAATATCTTGCATAAGCACTGCAGCAAAGTACAGGTCTGCTCATGGAAGTTCATAGGCTGACTGCATTTTGATTTTGCTTTTCATTCTATTGATGCTAATATATGTTAAAAACTTAGGCGGTAAGCTGTGATGAAGCATTTTTGGAAGTGACAATTTCAACGGGATTGGACCCTGAGTTCCTAGTTTCAAGGATAAGAAATGAGATCCTCGAGACTACTGGCTGCACAGCAAGTGCTGGTATTGCTGGAAATATGCTTATGGCACGATTAGCTACAAGAGCTGCCAAACCCAATGGTCAATGCTGCATTCCACAAGAGAGGGTACTCAGTCTTCTGTCCGAATTTCATTCTCGGAAGCGCTTCTTAAGTCATGATCTTATTGATTTTCTTACCTTTTGAGTCTTCTCTTTTTGACATTGAATCTTCTCGATTATTGCGTTTGCCTTAGTTCCTTTGTGTTCTTCTGCTTGTATGGTTTTGATCCCTGTTCATGAGTTTCAGTGAAAATTCTGTCACCTCAAAGTAACCACAGTACAGATATGGTGATACTGTATTAAAGTAGCAATGTCGCTTTCACTTTTGTTCTAAAATCCCTTTTACCAAAATTTGGTCTAGAATATGAAATCATAGAGTTGCTGTTAAGGTTCTGCCTTCCTTTTTAAGGAAACAATGTTAAGTTTCTACTAATCTAGTAAGTTAGCTTATATCATCCGCTTTATTAACCGAGTATTCTAATGGTTTGATGATCTTAGGTTGAAGAGCATTTACAACTACTTCCAATCAAGGCTCTTCCGGGAATAGGACATGTCTTGGCGGAGAAATTAAAGAAACATAATATCCAGACTTGCGGACAGTTGCGTATGATTTCCAAGGTCATGCTAATGCTAGTATGAAGCCCAAATAGTTTTATGACGGTTTTGGAATCTTTGAGTGGCTATCATCACTTAGCGTTGAATGGTTATTCTCGATATCTGCTGTCTTTTGTGATAAGGAAGGCTTTGCTCTCTTTCTGCTGACCCTATATTCTTCTTGTGGAGCTGCATAGTCTTGTCTGGATGACAACTTTGCCTCTTGCTATTTGATCTCTGGTCACTAGTAGCACAAGTAGTTAATATCTATTTGAATAGTACAAAAATAATTTCTTACAGCGGGTTGACCCGAACCCGGTTGAGCTAGTGGGTCAAGGGTTAATGGGTCACCCGTTTTAGCCCGGAAATATGGAAAGAGTCATTATATTGTACTTATCCTGATAAATTATATCAAATCTCATCTAATATATGAGTAATAACATATAACATTACACCAAAGTAACATGTCGTACTTATATCCAACATATAGTGAAAATTCAAACACACTTATATAACATCAATATTCAAATGTTCAACTAAAGATTCTAAAGATTGAGTTAGGATAAAAGAAAAATCGAAAAATAGGGCATTTCGCAAACCAAAGGAAAAAATGACACAATTTGACCTCCAACCTGATACCTTGTAGCGGTTGACCCGGCGAGTAAGTGCGGCCCGTTTTTCTCACCAGGTCAGGGTCAAAGTGGGCTGACCCGCTGGTTGACAACCTTGCAATGTTGTGATATGTGAACGAGTTCAGTTGCTTTTTCTTTTTCTGAATTGTTGTCATATGCTAATGTTCATTTAGTCAGTTCTGGTGCCATATTATTGACTTTTTTTACACGACTAGAGCAAAAAGCTTGAAAGGCAGGGATGAAATGATCGACCTTTAGTAATATAGCTAAGTGCCTTAGTGTCAAAGCTATTTGCTGATCGATGTAGTACTGCATCTCCACTTTAGTTGTGTGCAGTGACCTGGAAAATATGAGAACAATGAACTACCTGAGGCTGATATTCATATTTAAGTGAAAACAAAGAACAGTTGTTGTGTTGGAAGTCTTGGTGAGTTCAAATATATGTTGCTATTTCGGATGTTATGGTGTTCTACAATGAACTCATCAGTCTCCATGGTGTTGAACCAAATTATCGAGTAATTTCCTAGTTACGTTGAAGCTTTATGTTGCTCTTTTATTTATAACGGGGGACTTGGTGCATGTGTCCATGGCTGCATACTTCAGTGTTTATATCATGGATCGAGATATATTTGCAGCATCTGAATTTTGGTTACTTATTGGAATTAGGAGACTCTTAGAAGGGACTTTGGAGCGAAAACTGGAGAGATGCTGTGGAATCATAGTAGGGGGCTAGATAATCGGTTGGTTGGAGTAACTCAGGTTTGGAATTAGCTATAAATCATTAAATTATTATGTTGACGTTGATATTTCTACAGGAGACCAGCTTTCTGGCACAGTGCTGCACATTTGTGACTGACAGGCTCTGACAGCCTAGATATATGATTTGTTATTTGCAGGAAAGCAAGTCTATTGGTGCTGAAGTAAATTGGGGCGTCAGGTTCAAGGCTTTGGAAGATGTTGGTATTCATTGCATTATGCAAGCTTCTCTCTCTCCAGCCCTTGAATAAAATAAGACAATCCCTACAACTAAGCTACCCCTATACAACCATCTCTCTCCCCAGCTATCAATTTCAGTGTTTTCAATATTTGCAAGGAGAAACAGCTAACTGATACTTATTGCAGAGTCACCGTTTTCTGGCGGATCTTTGTAAGGAGGTTTCGCTTCGTTTGTTGGGATGCGGAGTGAGAGGGCGCACTTTTACTCTCAAGGTACTTTGTTTTATTCCAATGTTTCGAACTTTCATTTCATGTGTCAAGTTGTTTGGATCCACTCAATTGTTTTGGAGGATCCACATTTGTAATTAGTCTTTGTTACCCAGCCAGTGTTACTCTGAATATCGATGAGTGAATGGAAAATTAACTTGATTTCTTATATATCTAAATAGATTAAGAGAAGAAGGAAAGATGCCGGGGAGCCAGTTAAGTACATGGGCTGTGGGGACTGTGAGAATTTGAGCCACTCCATGACAGTAAGAGACCTACAACACCAAGTGTATTTCATTTTATAATGCAAATGCTTCTGACTATGCTTCTAGTTACTATCTTTAAATATCAATGGTATTACCCTTAAAAACTGTATTTACACTTCTGATGTGATATGCCGCCAGATTCCGATTGCAACTGATGACATTGGAGTGCTCCAAAGAATAACAAAGCAGCTTTTTGGGTGCTTCCACCTAGGCAAGTCAGCCCAATATAGTTACATGTTCTCCTGTTCTTTTCAGTGGTAAAGGTGTTGCATCAATCTATGGTTCTTCCTACACTGACAATTTAAGATTGCATCTTAATTATTGGAGTAGTGAGGGAAAATTGTGCTAGACATGTGAAACAAGGTTAGAATAAATTGTGAAACTAATCAGCTTAATGGACAGATAAACTTGCAGCTAGCTCTCATGCTCGTAGGATGTTGGGACTGTGACTGATTGTTTTTGGTATAGATCAAATTTATTTTGCTGGATGTCCTTCTCATAGGTGATGTCGACCCCCAAGGGTTGCTGCAAGTACACTATTATTTCTGGACGTCTTTCAGAAAATGGGAACTAGACATAGAATTGCTGTTGCATGGTTAAGATCATGCTTCTTCGCGGAAGTCACTCTGATTATCTGTGTGATATGCGGAGGCACTTCAATGTATCTGGGTCAGGTCGGCCTTTGATCAAATGTGTTATTGTTTTTGGAGGCCTCTGAAAGAACTCATCGAGAAAGTATTTGAGAAGCCTTCCACTTGTCACTGGCATCAGTAATGAGATGGTTTTGATTTGCTCTAGGATGAGGCACTCTTTGCATATATTTGATGCTCTGTTTTAACTGGTGAGCTCAGACTGAACCTTTTGAATCAATTTTACACAGATGACAGGGATATCCGTGGTGTTGGCTTGCAAGTTTCCAAGCTGGAAAATGCAGATGCTTCTAATCAAGGTTGCTCTGGGTGGTTCCATGCAGTTTACTTCGAAACTTGTTTCACAAAGTCCTTTCCATGTTTCTAAGCGTCAATTGGTCATTAACTTTCTTGTGTTGAAGGGCTTGAAAGGAGTTCTTTGAGATCCTGGCTCCTCTCTGCTTCAGCAACTAAAGTGGCACAGAGGGGTGCCACTAATGTTATCAAACGAAGTGCTAGAGGTTTGTATTTTATCCATATGATTTGTAAATTGCTCAGTGCTGTCACGAAGACACAGAAGTTTGTTTGTTTGCTGTTGTGATGTGTGTTGAGGATGATACTGCAGAGTTATATTGTTTGCTGATGAACATTCATCCTTTTTTCCTTTCATACATAGATTCTGACATTAATAGCAATGAAGGAACTTCCTGTCAATTATTTCCTGGAGAAATCGGCTCTTCTGGTATAATGGACAACAATGATCAACCTTGTGAAAGTGAAGATGTCTCTGCTTCGCCATCTTTATGTGATCTTGATGTTGGAGTTGTCGAGGATCTTCCACCAGAAATCTTTTCAGAGTTGAATGATATTTATGGAGGGAAGTTGATACCTCTTATTAATAAATGTAAGGGGAAAACTGAAAGCTTCAGTGACTCGTCATGCATTCCTGATTGTGGATATGCTGAAGGTGAGCCTATTTTACATAGCTGCTATGTTTTTGGTGGAATGCTAGTTCAGAGTGCTCGCTTAACTATTTTCTTAGGAGAACCTGACTATGTTGTAGGAGTTGATATGTCCAATATGGTGTCGCCAAGCAGTTCACTAGTGGACGCAGAGGTACTATATACTATATATTCACATTTGGGTTTCTCTTACTTTAATAAGTTAGTTTCATTATAATTCAGAACAAGTCTCCAGTAAGTGCTGGCTTGGCTATCCAACTGAAGCTATTCATTGAGCAGCTACCTTATTTCCTATTTCTAGTACATTTTAAAGCATCTCATCTCTAGTTTAGAGCAAGAAGGCTGTCGTTGGTAGGTTTGTAGCGATCCTTTGAATGTGGCTTCCCATTTTTTTTTTATAATGACGATTAATATAAATAACGAAAATAACTGTACAAAAGCGAGTACGAGATCACAAGGATTGATCTCTAGGAAATGAAGTCGAACCAAATCCTTAAATTATGTATTGGTATTTCGGCCGTCATGAAATAGATATAGTTTAGAAGTCAGCACTATGGTTTTCCTTTACATGATACGCGCCTCACTTCATTAAATTTCAGTTATTTATTATCTCATCGATTGTCATTTTGGTGGTTGAAGTTGCCAAATGGCAGTTCCCTATTCCTATGTAAACTGAAAAGGAATATAGAGTATTTCTCCATATATCCATATATTGTACTCCATTATTTTGTTGTACTATGAGTTGAGCCCTCGACTGTTGTTTAGGTTAAAGCAGTTATCCTATCTAGAGGCATGTTCTTTTGTTTCCGAGATGGATCCGATGGTGAGGCTGTTCATAAAAGGTGCCCTGAAAATGCTGACTTGATGTGGTCGTCTTTATGCCAGGTTGATACATCGGTGTTGCACCAATTACCTGAAGAGTTGAGAGTTGATTTGGTCGGACTGCTTCCAGCACATAGGAATCGAGAGCCACCATCAAATGCTGTCTTTGAGGCTCATGCAGATAACGCTGAAGAGTCATCAGTTGTCAGCACAACCGACAATGAATCCACATCACTCCCCAATGATTTAAACAGTGATCTGATGATTGGAAATCCGCCAAAATGGGTTGAGAAGTTTAGAATCAGCAATTGCCTGATACTAAACTCTCTAGCAGAGATGTACTACAAATGGGGGCCAACTAAAAATCTGTCTCCTCTGTTGCTTCATTTAATTTCTGAATGTGTGTATCCTCTAAATGAAGACGATGTTTGGGGTGATGAAGCTAGTTGCGACCTTTGCACCCTTCTTAAGCTGTACATTAAAGTAAACCTGGCATCAGACATGGAAGAGATATACGTTTGCTTTCGGCTTCTCAGAAGGTAAATTTGTGATGCCCATGAATATGCACAAGCAGAATGCATAAATGTCCCTCCATTTCCAAATGGTGATGAATAATATATGCATCGAGTTCCCTTCAATCATACATGCAACTTGTTTTCTTTTCAGGCTCGGGGAGAAGTCAAAACTTATTTCACAAGTGTACAATATTGTCCTTCCCGATCTTCAGGTTCGCACCGGAAGTGTTACTACTTATATTGTCATGCTCATTGCTTTACTGATTGAAGATTGGTGAGATATGTATGCAATGTCGTGATGGTAGTCTAGGAAATTATGAATGCTTGATCTTCCTATGACATTCAGAATGATTTGAGCTTAACTTGATATCTGCTAGGAGCTTCACTAGTACTCTAACCACCTACTTAGATTTAGCCTGCTCTCATTTGACTTGGCAGGAATCTTTCCGTAAAGTTTATGGTGGATATTTGAAACTTTAATCATGGTTGCTCCTGCAACTGAGAAGCTCAGGTGCGTGAAGTTGCGCACTTCTATTTTTTTGGGAAGGATGATCTGGCATGCAAAGTCTATTTTATGCCATCCCAAGTTTTGTTGAGATTGAATGGTGTGAAGATGTTGTCCGAATAGATACTTCCAACATCCATCCGTGAAGATCATCTATGAGTCCTTTCAGGCATCAGTACTAGATTCAGAATGCAACTATTGAGGAGTTGGTGCAACTGATCCCCGCAAAAGGTAGGATCTGATCGTAAGGACAAGTTTATTTCCAAATGTATGGCTATTGCCTTATTGGCATGGTCGGGATAGGTTGATTTTTTTCGCTAGCACATGTTTACATAATTACATTCATATATGAACTAGTGAAGTCTCCTCTGTCCTTTGCCCAGAATACTTGAAGATTCCCCTTTATGCAACCTATTGTACTTGGAACATTGCGCAATAGAACTTTTCTCACTCAGGTTTTGGCTTTTGGTTTTGTAGGTTCAATTTTATGTGATTGCTAGGCCAATTTGGTTAGGAGGCGTATAGGGGTCGTAGTCTGTTAGAAACATGGGTTTTCTGTGTATTATTCAGTATTTAGACTATTATTTCGGGTTGATTATGTTTTTGAAATTGTGGGAGCATTTCGGTATTTTGTTGTGTTATTTGAGTTGTATTTCACTAATATTGAGGTTTCGAAGGGTACCAACTACCAATACACATGGGAAAACGGAAGGAAAATGAGAATTCAATTGAGGAAAGACTAGATAGATGTGTGGGAAATCAAGCTTGGCTGATTAAGTATCCCGATTTCGAAGTTACATTGTGGTTGTGGAATGGTCAGGCTCAGATCACCTTCCTATATCTGGACTCAAAAGGAAGGGAAGGTTCTTTAATTAAGTGGGGTGGTATTTTAGGACTGCGCCCTTATGAAGTTATGGTTCAAGGATCCAGAATTCAAAGAAGTCGTTGCTTGCTTGAAGCTGTTGGCTAAGCTAAGAAGAAAGCCGCAAACCACACAAGTTTAAAATCAAAGGAAAGTCATCGAATCAGAGAAGGCTGAGATAAAACAAAGGTCTAGAATGGATTGGATGAAATGATGAGATAAAAACACCAAGGGGTGGTTGGGATTAGGGAATGTGAAAATGAGAGATTTAGCTCCAAATCTCTCAATTAAAAACCCAGGAATTTTGATTGTGGGATTTTACCCAAATAACTTGTTTGGGAATTAACAAGAGATTTTAACGAGAAAAATAAAATTACAATTTAGCCCACCCCAACTCTTCTTCTACGTTTCTTCTTCCTCCTTTTCCTATCTGATTCCACCACCTGTAAAATCCAATCGACCAACAGATAGCAGTCTCTGCCCCTGTCGTTTTCGGCGATGGGCTCTGGTGACGGGATTTCAACTTAGCTAACCAGTTCGTGGAGCGAGAGCATAAGCGAGAGCGTAAGAGCGTTTAGTGTACCAGAATTCAATATTGAGAGCGTGAAGAGAGCGTCATTATATATTATTTTTATATTTATAATATATTATTTATAAACTATTTAATAAGTAATTATTACCACAATAACACATAGCAAATTGATAATTGTCTATATATAGACAATGGCGTACAAATAAGATGAGTTTTTTAGTTTTAATTTTACTAATTATATAGCTCTAATGAATATCTAAAGTTATTTTGGTTGAAAAAATTAATTATTTTACTTTTTCTTTTCCTTTTAACTTCCCTTATCTTTTCCACACTTCACCCACCGCACAGTCGCTACTTGCTAGCCACAAATCTTCTTCTCCCTCCTTCTCCTCCTCGGCTCTCTCTCTCTCTCTCTCTCTCCTCTCAGCTCTGTTTTTCTCTTTCATTTTTCTTGCGAATAATTTCGCCATGCAACCGGCAAGTGGTTCATTCTCATCTCACATATCAACTTATGATCGACAAACAAGACCCAGATAACACTATTTTGTAGGCGGAAGGATATTTGTCTGTGTTTACGACTACCGATTCGATCGGGGGAAGAAGAAAGGATTCGCCGGCGTCATCGATTTGGTACCGGAATGCCATAGAACGCCCGGCTGGCCAGGATGCCAAGTGTTTCTTTATGCTTTCTATTACACCCATTCATTGGGAACAGTAGTTTCCAGGAGGAAAAAGAAAGTATTGTACCAACGACTGTCGATTTAGCGGCGGAAGGAGATTGAACGGCCAACTAGACGAGAACTTTCTCTCTTTGGTCTAATAAAATTCACTGCAACAACATATTCGCGAACTTCCAAATCTAATTCACGCTCCCATCAATGATAATTCACGGATTGTGGACGCTCTACTGAAAAATCGCGTTTTCACGCTCTAAATCGAGATCGGCAGGGGTCGACCCACAAATTGGGTGACCTAAATTTTAACTAGTCATGGGGTACTCCTGCCTTCGCCCGTTCTTCTGGGTTTCAAACCCAGAACCCTCCATGAGCATTCACGAACACAAATCCATAATCGATGGACGACAGAATCGATAGGGCTCCTCTTTTGTCTCCACGAGTGCTCGTCGGTATGTGATGCAATTTTCCAGGAGCTGCTGAGATTGAATTTGTTCTTCGTCTTCCAGATCTGATATATTCATCTTCTTACATTGAGATTGAGATTCCGAGAGAGAGTGTCGAGGAGATGAGAGGGATACATGGCGAAGCTTCACTCTTGAACAAGGAGGGGAACCCAGAACTCCGACGTAGAGCAACTCGCCCCATAATCACCTCTTTTCCCATAAACCCAGAAAGGCAATCATCTGTGTCATCTCGCAAACTGGACAGAGAAGAGGAATCTGCATAATCGACGACCCGCCTGCAGTATCGACGACGGCGATGTTGTGGGGGATTGGGTTCCGATGCAGATCTCACCGTACAGATTTCGATTGCTTTCGTCGGAGGAGAGGAAGATGGAGAATCTGTCGGGAGGGAGGCGTCGCCGCCGACGACAACAAGCTTTGGGGAAAGGAAGATCTATTTTCAAGGTGGAAGTAAGAAGGGATTAGAGGAATGAAGGAGATCGACAGAGAGCAGTGGATCGACGGAGAGACAAGGGATCGACAACGAAGAAAGGGATGAAGGAAGAAGAAGGGAAGAACGAAGGGAGGGGCAAAAAATTTCCCTTCCTTATTGACAGAGAAGTTAGAGAGAAGTTTGAGAGAAGTTGCTCTCCCCTCTCTCCCGGTGTTTGAAAAAATATGACCGTTGCAGGTCAGGCCCCCCGTGGGGGAAGACCACTGCCTCAAGCCACCGGATGGCTCGTCGTCCGCCTTCCCGGTGCAACCTAGCAAAAAGGCAAAAGCGAGCACGAGCACAGGATACACTAGCCAATCTGAAATGGAGTTCGCCGTTGTTACAGTCAGAGCACCGGACGAAGAGATAAATTGCATTGAAGGGGCAGAGGAGACACACCCTGCTTCTCCGATGAAAGAGGACCACGACCCAGCAAAGGGGAAAGCCAGCTACAAGGACTCTTTCTTGGGCAATAGCCCCCCTCTCGACATCCTGGAAGGAGACGACTTGATGTCTGATGAATCTGATACAGAGGAGGCCGACGACGACCCTGATTGCCCAACAATCTGAATAAAAAAAAGAACGAATGCGAAAATCTGCAACAGATGGAAACGAGCGATCACCTTCAGAATCCTTGGGAGATCCTTCCCCTGTGCTTTTGTCCAAAGAAGAGTAACGAGGCTGTGGGCGAAGACTGGGGGGATGAAAGTCGGCGACATCGGCAACGGCTATTTTCAAGCCACCTTCGATTCACAGTTGGGTCACGCTCGGGCACTCTATGGTGGTCCCTGGACAATTGACGACCACTACATCGTCTCTGAACCATGGAGACTTGATTTTGATCCTGACTTCGATACGATCAACAGGACCGCTGTCTGGGTAAGACTTCCTCGGCTTCCTCTTGCCTATTTTGATGAGGACATTCTTATGGATATTGGGAGCAAAATAGGAAGAGTGGAGAAGATCGATTACAATACAATGAATGGTGTCAGGGGAAATTACGCCCGGATCTGCGTGGAGGTGGATATGAGAAAGAGGCTGGTATCCAAGTATAGGATTAAGAGAAGGGTAAGAAGAATTGAATATGAGGGATTGCATATTGTTTGCTTCGACTGTGGCCACTATGGCCACATTGCAGAGAATTGACCAATGAAGAAAGGGCAATCTGGCCAAAACCAGGAGGATATCACGAGAGAGACGGCCCCAACCCAGTCTAGCCAAACAATCCGACCGGAAATCCTGGAAGACTTTGGACCATGGATGCTGGCAACTCGCCCAAAGAGGAAAGGGACTCAACAACAAGCTAAGAAAGCCAATGTTAAGGAGGTGGAAAGGGGCAAGGAAGCACTTACAAAAGCCTCAGGGTCTCGGTTCAATGCTCTTGCCACGGAAGAGAGTCCGCCTAAAGAAGAAGGGGAAGCTAACTTGAGAACAAGCCAGGTCGAAACACAGATGGAAACTGAGCATAGGCAGAAAAATTCAACAGAGAATCAGAAGGAGGAACCAGTTAAAGAAGCAAAGCAGGAAAGCAAGAAGAAGGGGAAACAGAGTACTGGAAAACAAGGTGAAGGGCAGGTGAAGGAACAAAAAACCAACAATAGGACGACAGGTCGTAAAGAACACCAAAAAGCCTCACCGTTGCTGGCTAAGCAAGGAAAAAACACTGACTCTAGTCCTGACAAACCACAGCACACCTCTAATGCTAAACAAGGAGCTGGGAAAGGCACACACTTGTCAGGGGCAACCCCCCCCGCTCCTGCTGTTAAGCATTGCTCTCCCTCAAACCACCATTCTTCTGTGTCAACAGGGAACCCTGGTGTCAGGAAGGGATTGTCTGCAGAAGCCATGATTGGTCATCAACCTAAAATGAAGCAACCTGTTGAAGGTAAAGAAGACAGGCTGCACAGGAAAGATTTACCTCAAGATCACGGCAATGGGGAAGGGCAACCTAGAAGGATTGACTTCAATCCTAAGAAAGAAGACATGGAGCAAGGGCCAGATAATTCCATTGAACCAATGGATACTACAATTGGGAGTCATCCAGAGGTTCAAAAGACGGCTTTGGCCGTCGACAGATGATTTTCCCGACCTTGTGTCGTTGCAGGGAAGATTTCTTACCCCCATGGTTAAGGTACTTTCCTGGAATTGTAGGGGGGCCTTGCATCCTAAGTTTCTCCCTACTCTCAACCTGTATAAGGCTAGCTATAGTCCTGATGTGGTCTGCATCCTGGAACCTCGCATTAGTGGCACAGAGGCTGACAAAGTCATCAAATCAATGGGATTTGATGTCTGGGAAGTCTCGGCTGCTGAGGGATTTAGTGGTGGGATCTGGATTCTCTGGAACAGGAACAACCTGACTCTGGAACTCATTGATCGCCACAAGCAATTTATCAATATGAAATGCATCACTGGAGGCAAAAGCATCTACCACCTCACTGTGGTTTA